GTTCCATTCCGTATCGCTGTAGGATATCTCTCGCGTAGGGTCCTTGCGATATAGCTGGTGTGCCATGTTCGTAGTCCCGCCGCACTTCGATGCCGATTACGCGCTTGACCTCTCCCATGCCTGTCATTTCGAAGCTGTCCATGAGTTCCTTCTTTTTCCTCTTACGATCTCGTTGTTTCCGCCCGTGCTGAGGATGTCATCGACGTAGATCGCGAGGATTGTGAGTTCGTCCCCGCTTACGAAGATGTAGACACAGGGGTCAGAGTGAGTGCGCTGCCAGCCGAAGATGATGAGTCTGTCATTGATGGCGTCGTTCCACAGGGACTGTGTCAGGCCGTACAGACTTCTCTCCAGTTTGTAGACCATCATCTCACCTGTCGTAGGGTCCCTCTCCTCGTCGCCTGGCGCCGGCCTGACGTAGACGTCTCTGTCGGCGTACGCGTTCAGGAATGTCTCCCCCAAGAACCCTTTGCTCGAGGTGCCCGTGAGGAAAGCATACGCCCGGACTTCGGTGAAGGGGTCTTCATCCAGGGGAGCAAAATCCGCCGCGTCAGTAGGGCATCGTTGCTGCGCTTGGTGGGTGAGATCGAGTAGTTGATCCTCGGTGAGCTCCAGTGGGTCGGGGTGGCTGACAGTCATGGTCGAGTGACTTCTGTCGTTCATGCTCACTTCCAGAGATTTCGGGATGCATGAAGGGTTGATAGGGTCATCTGTGAGTTGGTGAGTGCGCGTGGCAGGACGGGTCACCGTTAATCGACCCATTGGGATCGGGGCTGGTGAAGCAGAGTCCGTTTCTGTTGGCGTCGTGGGTGATTCGAGTGTCGTGTCCTGCGATATCCTGGATGGTGTCGTAGTCCGCGGGTTGTGGTTGCTGTCAGCTCCCCCAGCAGCAAAGTAATTGTCGGAATCCGTGCCCGCGTTGTTTTGGCGAAGTTCTGCTCGGTCGATGTTGTCATGCTGCATGTTGCGCATCTCGTGCAGCAGGAGCTCTGATTGTGTTCCGTAGTCCACTTTGTTGTCTTCGTCGCCCGTAGAGGTACCGTGTCCGAGCAATGACGTGAAGTTCGTCACGTCCTGTTCATATCCGAGACGATTGTCCCACCGGTGAGTGGGGATGGCGTCGGGTGGAGTCTCGATGAAAGTCACGTTCCGGCTCTCGAAGACCTTGTCTTTGTCCTCCACGTAGATCCGGTACGTCTTGCTGTCAGGTCCGTAACCGCAGAGCTTGCCTTCAAAGGCCCGGTGGTCTAGCTTCTTCTTGTATCGCTCGTGATGAACGAACGCGCGGGCGCCGATGGCACGAAGTCGACAAAGGCCCGGGGTTGTGTTGTACACCTTGGAATACGGCGTGGCTCCCCCTAGCGCAGCGTGTGGGGTCCTGTTGGTCAGGTATGCTGCAGTCATCATGAGCTCCCCCCGCATGTGTTTTTGGAAGTCTCCATGGCGCAGTAGAGCTCGGGTTAGAGCCGCAAGTATCTGGCCATCCCTTTCTGACCCTCCGATTTCTTGGGGCGTGTTGGTCGCGGCGAATTCCAGCTTGATCGCAGACTCCCTACAGTAGTTGCGCAATTCTTCCCCAGTAATCTCTCACCTTTTGTCACAGCGTAGAACCTCGATGCGGTAGCCTTCAGATGCTGCCTGCACATTGTAGGCGTGCAGAATTTGCGTGGTTTCGGTCCTGTGGCGCAGTAGGTACACTTCCCGCATTCTGGTAAAGACGTCGGTCGCTTTGGCGACGTAGGAGTAGGTGCGTCCGTTGTACTTCGCAGGCGGGTCGATTGGTCCCATATTGTCGAACTGGACGAGTTGGCCTGGTTTGGTCAGGGCACGGCTGGTCTTCTTCGGGACGGGAGCCTTCTTGTGCTTCGTGATGTGGCAGTTGTCGCACGGGGATACAGGTCCGTCATATTTCACACCTGTAGCGGGGTTGCGCCGCAAACCATACCACTTGGATTGATGTGGCCGAGGCGCCGGTGCCAGAGGTCGACGCTCACGCTCATCGCCACTGAGCATGTCGCGTGCGGAGTGTGATCGATCTGGACCGCTTTTGGTTTTCCGAACTTCGGCTGACGCCCTGGTTCTTGATTGTTCGGGGGTGTCTTGCTTGTCCAGTTTTCCTCTCATCACAAATGACAGCTCACACCGCGAGAGCAGCTTCCACCCTCTGTTTCTCCCTCCGTCAATAAACACCGTACGTACATACCTCGCCAAAGCCGCTAACCCTCCAGCGCCGCTACCAATGCATCGTCCTCCCCCGCTGGATCCTCTCCGCCGGCTGCTTCTTCGGCTGCTTCAACCATGCCACCCGCGAGCGGAGCCAGCTCATCTGCGAGTGCTGGCTCGTCTGCTGCCGCCGCGGCCGCCGCCGTCTACGGCTCGCCCGAGCAAGTTCCGGCCGACCGCGGGCTACAACACCTCCGCTCACGCACCGGTTGCAACACCAACCTCGTCTTGAAAGGAAAATGTCCACAAAGACAGGGCCGACTACCCTGCCTGCGGGGACTTTAGCGCCGGCAACTGCGCGTGGAGTACCCCGGAAAGGTCTGCTGGCTCTGCGCCCCCGAGTTCGATGTCGGCGAAGGAGTGTGGGCATACAGCATCCCAGGTGAGAGCTTTCGTATATTTGCAGCAGAAGTACCATGAATGATCTTCCTTCACCGCTGTTATTTGCGGCAGCAGGCGTTGGAGTTCACGCGTTGATGTTTGTGGTTGTTTTAATGAACGCGATTCATATGTTTGGCCGATCATGTTCACACGGAGATACACCACACAACATTCGGCGCTCTGCATCATATATCGGCGCTCTTCGTGATGAGGTATGACAAAACACAATTCATTCCTGATTTCTGTCACAAGAAGACCACACAATTCATTCCTGATTTTGTGCTGTTCAAGGGGGTCGCACCAACTTTGCCCCTCCCTGCGCTGTTGCTGAATGACTCAGAAAATGAGCAGATCATCTTCAACAAAACGCTGCTCATCCATGTTTGTTTGTGTGTGCGTTTTCGTCGCCTTCTCTGTTTGTGATCAAAACAGACGTGGAACGCCCCGCGTATTACGTACACTGGTGCCTCAAAGAGGATGCCTGCATCATTCTCAAGGAGGCGGGCGTCCCGATCAACGTTGGGCTTGCCGGCGACGACGACGTGAGTGAGTCATTATATTTCTGTTTCACAAACTACCCCCTTCCGTCTGCCTGACCAACACAACACAACACCAACTATCATTGATACTCCTGCCCGTTACTATGCGCACTGCCATGTTTGGCACAACACCATAGATATTCTGCCCGAAAATATGCGCACGCACATGCTCGGTAGAACGTGTGCTGCCGCGAGACAATTTTTTCTTCGTCCTCGATGTCCACACCTTTTTTCAGTGCCCGACACCATTATTTCGGCGTGAATATGCCCAAATTGAAGGTCTCATCAGCAGTGTTACGAGCATATGCGTGTCATCGTCATCGGATGCTGCAGCTAGGAGCTAGACAAGTCGCTAGATTGCCCCAGATTGGCTATTCCTGCCTCAAACTGCTGCAGGGCGGTGTGGCCTCGGGCGGTGGGCTCTGCTGTAGCTTCTGCTCGCCGCTGTAACTCCACATCGAGAGACTCCCACAGGATGACCAGGGTATCTGCTTGTAGCTACGGGCTAGCCCTTCAATTCAAGTTACACAGCAAGCTCCACCTCTCAGCAGTATTCCAGCTGCAGCGCATCGCGCAATCTCGCTCTCAAATTCACCAATATGTTGATATTACAGTTGACGCAGGACCCACTATATGTTACGTTCCACGTGTTACGTGCACACTTTTTTTGTTCCACGCCATTGTTATCAGTGTTCCTGCCCGTGGTTATGCATGCGCACATGTTCCTCGGTATGGTTCTTGATCTTTCTGCTGCGAACGCCATTATGCTCGCGCAGGACAGCTGTTTTTGCCTTCACCATAATTTGAAAATTTACCCTGTGTTCTGTTCTTGACACTATTTTTGCTGCGCAACGACACAATGCTGACGCAGAACGCATCTTTTTTCCCTTCCACATTTTTCTCGTGCGATTCATGCTGGACACGGACCAATTAATCGCCAAGTCCACCCAGCCCTTCCACGTCGGCTAACCCTTTCCACCTCCTCCGTCCCATGATACATGCGATGTTTTGAACGGGGGCGAGCACTAATCATGACCTTCACTACTTCCTTTCCTACCTGCATCACCCCCGGCGACCTGATACCAACGTCCCGAAGGACGAACTTGTATCTATATTTTTTCTTCTAGTGTAATGTGCACTCAGGATCCGCCTAACCTTTTGAGAGTGCGGCAGTGGCAGAGCCTCACAATCAGAGCAGGACGCCGTACAAGTGACTACTTCAAATGTGATTCTATATTTTTTGTAGTGCTATTTACAGAGGCGATCGACGGCGACGATCTACGGAGCGACGGCAGCGCGATCGACGATAGTGGCCCAAGGCCGCCCGATCTATCGCCCGACCCACCGACTGACCGACCCAAATCTACCCAACCCAACCCTACCCAACCCAACCCCCCCCCCCCGCGAAGACCAAACCCAGCCCGCCAACCTGACCCAATCCACCCCAACCGAACCCCATATATTCAACACAACCGGACACGGTCGTTCGGGTAAAGACAAACTCAACACCTAGAGCAAGACCCCCAAAATCCGGGTGATCCCAAGTGAAAAGACTGCATCATGCAAGGCAACACATTTGATCAACACGCCCCAATCAACATCTCTCCAAAAAACCACACAGCAATTTGGCAAAGCGCAATAACACTCCACCACAAACATGAAGATAGAAAATGCCGGAGAGGAGCTGAGCGACCACGAAGAAGTCCGTTCAAACCAGCCCGCCCGATCGACGGACAAACCGACCGACGACCAACCGACCGACCGAATCTGACCCTTCTTCACCCTATACCCTACACAGCCCAACCCCAACACGTCCGAACGATCGACCGACCGACTGACCCGACCCACACCCTACACCCAGCCCACACCCCTATGCGAAGGTGTACCGATTCAGGTAAAAGTCAATCGACGGATATCCTGCGAATCGGGTCCTCCTTAACACTCTCCACCCACAGAATTTACCCTCAACTGGGAACCTCTTGTGGCCAGGATGGGTAATTCGATGGAAGTGTCACAAGGTTCTTTGTAGGATCGACTCCAAGAGGTGTTCTCAGGACTGACACACATTGTGTCCTTGGGAAAATACCCAAGTCAGGAGAAAAAGTGTGCACCCAAGGAGATTCGAACCAGTATCCAGCTGACGCCATGTGCGAAGGTGTACCGATTCAGGTAAAAGTCAATCGACGGATACCCTGCGAATCGGGTCCTCCTTAACACGTACACCCAAGCCAAGCCAAGCCAACCCAAAACACAACCCGACCAACCGACCTACCAATCCCACCCTACCCCACCCTCCCAACACAACCCAACACAAAACGCAACCCAACCCCAACCCAACCAACCGACCGACTGACCAAGCCAAGCCACCCTACCCCCAACCCAACCCAATCCGACCCCAAAACACAACCCTGCCATCCGACTGACCAAACCTTCCCTACCTTCTGCCTCACGTACCCAACCCAACCCAAGCTGATTCCAAAACACGACCCTACCAATCCCACCCTACCCTACCCTCCCAACACAACCCAACACAACACCCAACCCAACCCCAACTCCAACCCGAACAACCGACCGAGACCCAACCCACCCTACCCCCAACTCAACCCCCGACCGATCCTACCCTACCCTTCCCTACGCTACCCAACCCACAACCCAACACAAAACACAGAAACCAACACTAACCCAACCGACCGATCGACCGACCGATCGAGGCAACCGACCCTATCTCGTTCCAAACCCGCCCCAAAACACAACCCGACCGACCGACCCACCAAACCCACCCTACCTTCTACGCTACCCTGTCAACCTATACCCTACCTCACCTTACCCAACTGAACCCAAAACCAAACATAACCCGACCCAAAAACACAACATGACCAATCCACAGACCGACCGACCGACCGACCGACCGACCAACCGACCGACCGACCGACCAACCGACCGACCGACCGACCGCGACCCGACCGTACACTACGCCATATTCCACCCAACCCAATCCGACCCAAAGCAGAACCCAACGCCAACCCAACCAACCGTCCTACTGA